TGTTGGTGACATAATGTGCACCGTGGGACAGGGACCAGGGGAGGGACTCAGCCTGGAAAGGTGAGTGGGACCAGGAGAAGGCCTGGGGATGGGCCCTGGGGACCAGACGGGGGCGTCCACCAAGCCGGAGCCGTCTCAGCACTGTGGCCACCAGGCCCCGTTCAGTGACAAAGATTCTGTTCATCCTCTTCACTGTCTCAAAATGAAATTCAGAGGAATGTTTTCGAACCTCCATATAATTGCTGACAGTAATAAGGGAGAAATAAAAGACTTTTCTTTTTTGGTGTTGGGGAACTGACCAGGGCCTGTGTCTGCTCAGTACACACTCCCACGACGCTCCGGCCCTGACCAAGAAGGACTTAAAAGAAAACATTCAGTATTTCAGCAGAGAAATGCTCAGGCACGACTCCACTGGAAGACCTGGGCTTCTGAATGAGAGACTATTCAGAAATTGGTAAAAATAATCAGAATTTCTTTTAAAAAGTTCACTCTCATTTTACAGGATGGCTGCAACGTTGGAAAAAATTCAGTGTTTGCTACAAATAGTAATAAAAATGTAAAATTATTACGATTAGGTTTTGGGTGCCCCATGACTATGCACAGGTTCTTAAAATTTAACTTTGGAATTATTAGACGGTCCCGTTTTACACACTAGTCATTATGGAACGGTTTAAAGCCCAGCGCGGTGGGCAGGCGGCTGGTCCTGGGCTGTGCAGGACCATCTTGCGCACAGTAGGACACGGCAGGCCTCCCACGCCCCTCGGTGGACGCCAGGAGTACCCCCCACCCAGGCCTTGGCACACGCACAAAATACCTCTGGAAGCTTCCAGATCCGCTTCTGCTTCTGTCCCTTTTGAAAACTCCTCGTCTCGGGTACTGGCCGGGGCTTCGTTGCCCACAGGCCACTGGCCTTGCCGCCCCATGGGCTTTATACAGAGGCGTGTGGTGGGGCGCAGCCGTCGAACAACAGTCCTCCTTGTCTTTTCCTTCAAATAGGACCCTGGTGATGGCTTTGGCCGCACTCAGAAAGAGGGACCTTGGTTCTCCCCTGTTCACTACAAGGAAGAGCGCAGAGGAAGACCAGGAAGGGCCTGATCACAGCAGAAGAGTGGCCTGCACACCTGTCCCCAGGTTCGATGGGCGTGGGTCCTTGTTCATAGAACACACCCGTGAAGAGTGTCCACCTGGGCCCTGGGCATCCCACGGAGAGCCGATGAGGGGGCGATGCCCTTCCAGAGTGCGCAGCCGCGGTGAGGGCCGGCTGGGGAGGTGGTAAGTGGAGGCCCCGATGCCCGTGATTACAGGGAAGAGAGGGCTGTGCACGGGGAGGAGGCGTCGGAAGGAGGCAGGGGTCATTTGGAGTTAAGAAGGGAAGGCCATGGGGCAGCCACCCCAGGGCCCCACTCTCCTCTCAGGGGTGGGAGTGGGGGCCGAGGGCTCTGGGGGTCCCTGCTGTACTCCCCCTCAGGGCTGATAATGACACTGTCCTCAGGGGAAGAAAAGGACACTCGGCCTTTTGCAAAGCTCTGCTGCGGAGCTCGCCTGGCCTGTGTGAGGCCCTGGGTTCCATCCCCAGCAGACAGGGGCCACACACACACACACACCCCGGGAAGGGGCGGAGAGCTGGGCTGGGGAGGCTCAGAAGCAGAGGAAGAGAAGGACGAGCTGGTTAGTTGCCAGAGATGTTTTGAAATTCCCGCAAAATGCAGCCTTTTGGAAGGAAACTTCCCCTTTGGTGACATGATGGAAACGAACCACAGAAGATCTGAAGCATTTAAAGAACTTCCCCAGGTTTGAATTAGACCAGGCCTCATTCAAATCAGCACCCCGTCCCACGAAATTCGGATCCCTCCACCCCCACTGCAGACGGAAAGGAACAGGAATCACCCACTCAAGATGGCACCCGGCCCGCCCTCTGGTTGGTGGGCTCGGGTCACATGACCCCAAGGAGACCCTTGAAGGTTGACACCATCTTTTGTGAGGCTCCCAAAGGGCACTCGGAGGTTGGCTGGGCTCTTGTGGTAGGGAAGGAACAGGAGCCGGCCCAACATGGGAGGCCAGTGCTGCACGGGCCCACATAGGCCCCACAGTAAATTCCTGAAAAGGCTCAGGGAAAGGAAGATTTGAAATGTTGCAAGTTTTGCTCCTTCCTTCTCCATAACTCTAGAACTTTCTATTGCCCAAGGGTTTCCTTCTGCAGGTTTTAACAATGTTTTGCAATGTAGAATTGAAAAACCAGTTTAAAAATACCTTTTAAAGAAAAAAAAATTGAAAGTCTGTAGAAAGCAAAAAGAGTTTGTGTCCATCTCATCATCTGCCTGACACTGCAGTGCAGACTCCGTGACGTCATCTCCCTACACTCCTACCACATCACCCCCTCCCACCGGTCTCCTTGCTGTTTGTTGGCCACACTCCCACCTCAGGACCTTTGCACTGGCTTCTCTGTCCTTGGAAAGCATTTTTGTAGACGCGGGCGGCTTACTCCTTTTCCTCCCGGTCTTCACTCACACACGACCTTCTTGATGAGCAAGAGTAACTCTCCTGCTTACAATGGCACCAGTCCCCCCTGGGCTTACCTATTTTGTCTTTGTTCTGTAGCATTCCCTCCTTTCTAACTTACGGGGCAATTGCTTCTTTATTACATTTATTGCTTCTTGCCCGCCCCCCTCGGGAGGCTGTAAGTCCCACTAGCGACCTTCAGTGGGTGCTCCTGGTCTAGAACAGTGCCCGTCACAGAGCAGATGTTCAGTACATTTTTGCTCAATGAATTAAATGAACAAAGAGTGGCTAATAGTGGCTACTATTTATTGAGGACTTAATTTGTGTCAAGCGCCGTTCTAAGTACATTCTCCCAACAACCCTTAAGGAAATTTTTTTTTAATATTTATTTTTCAGTTGTGTAGTTGGACACAATACCTTCATTTTATTTACTTGTATGTGGTGCCGAGGATCAGACCCAGGGCCTCGCATGTGCTAGGCGAGTGCTCTACCGCTGAGCCACAACCCGGGCCCCTAAGGAAAGTTTAAATAAACCCCTTTTACAAATGAAGAACCCTGGGCACAGAGAGGCTAAGCAACTTACCTAAGACCATTCAGTAAGGTGAATGTCAGTGCCAGGGTTTGAACCCAAGCAGAGTGCCGCCAGAGCCCACGGTATCAACCATGATGCCGTGTTTGCCTCTCGTGAGATGTAAAGAGGGGGGACCTTACAAGGTGGGCCGGGCTCTGCCCTCAAGAGTGGATCAATGCACCCACAGGACTGACGGATTAACGAGTTAACGGGTTATCTCAAAATAACTATTTAAGAAGCCACTCTGGCTGGGTCTCACGCGCACCCTGTCTCTGGCCGCGTGAGGCCCTGGGCACCTCTGGACTGCCAGCAAGACCGCTACCGCCAGATGCGGCCCCTCAGCGCGGGCCCAGAACCGCGCGGGCCCAGCCTCCAGGTTGTCATTCACAGCAGAAATGGGCCACGCGACCTTCCTCTGTGGAGGCCTCTCTTTACCCTGCAGGGTGGTGACAGGCGGGGTGCGGATGTGGGTGCCCTGCAGCTCAGGGGCTCCTGGACCTTCCCACCACCCTCGGCAGGGTCTCCAGAGAACAGAACCAGGGGTCAGACGACGGTGGATGAGATGGTGGGGCTTTATTAGGGGCCTTGGCTCACAAGGTCGTGGAGGCTGGGGAGTCCCCCGGTGAGCCTTTTGCAGGGGAACCAGGACAGCTCGGCCTCCCTCCCTGGTGTCTGATGGCGCTGCCCGGCTGGCTCTGCCTTCCCTGGAGCTGGCTCCTTGGTCCCCCGTCCCCGACCCATCTGTCCAGCTCTCTCTCCCGTCCCTGCCCTGGGCAGAGCTGGCTGTTGGCTCTCCCTGAGCTGGCTGTGCCATTCTGCCCCCCGCCACTCCAGTGCCATGTGGCCTGGTTGGCAGGACTGCGCTGTCCCCTGCGGGCACCAGCATCACCCTCGCGTCCTGGCACACAGCCCTCCTCCTGGAGGTACCCGTTTTCTCCTCTGTGTCTCCTGGGGGCTCTGTGAGTCCCTGACACATTCTGCCCTTTTTCCCCACCTGCTTTGTGTCCCTCCTCAAGGGCAGCGCCAGGCGAGTCCACCTCCCCACTCCCTGCAGCAGGGCTCAGCCGGCCAGGCGCAGGTCAGTGCCAGGGAGCCTCTCAGACCCCTCTGTGTGCTCAGAAAGGGACAGCAGTTTGTCACCTGGGGCCCGCACGGCTCTCCTTGGCCCCGGGACAGCTCCTTGGAGGCCCGCGTTGTTCTGTTTTTGGAGCGTTTCATCGAGGATATTCTGGAAACTTCAGCAAACATTCCCCAAAGTGTCCTTTCCCACTGAGTCCACAGGCCCCGCGGGGAGACTCCACTCACTCTGCCGTTTAGCGTTCAGGTTGGTTTTGGGGGAGTTACACACAAGGTGGAGCTGACTCAGCTCGGGGACACAGGCTCCTTCTCACCGCCATGGGGCCACCGCCACCGCCCAGCTCCAGAGCTCCCTCCAGCTTCCTGGTCTTCCCGGGAAACTGTCCCCGCTGAGCGCCCCGCCACCTGCCCCGCCCCACAGCAGGCTCTCCTCTGCCTCCTGAGTGACCCCTCCAGGGGCGAGTCCGTGGCGTCGTGGAGAGGCTGTTGCCCGGAGAGCCAGGGCACTTAGGGGAGCCACCTGTCCCTTGGTGTCTGAGTCTGGCTGCTTCTCCGAGCTCGGAGTCTCGGGGTTCACCTCGGTGGAAGGCTGAGGGCACCCCGTGTCCAGCTGTCTCCTTTCTTGCGGGGCTTGGGGGACAGGCTGGCCCGGGCCTGGTGGGCGCCCCAGGGCTGCGCTCCGTCCTCCCCAGCCGCCACCTGGGGCCCCCTCTGACCTGACCCCCACTGCCAGCCCAGCCACCGTCCCCATCGCTCCGGCCCTTTCCCCTCAGGGCCAGCGAGGGGTCACTAGGGCCCGTCCCAGAGCTCACGGCCTTCACCCCCCCCCGCCCCGCACCCCAGCCCCCCACCCCGGACCCCGCTCTTGCTCCACCTCCCCGAGGCCCCGCGTGGGCAGGGCCGGGGGCACCCAGACTTTCTTGGTGGCCACGGTTCTCAGCTGCGGGCCACGCTGTTCCTGAATGAACCAAACTCAGGTTCGTTTCCACGCGACCCCACCCGGGCGCCGCCCCTTCACCCTCCACAGGCCCCTGCTGCCCCCGACCTAGGCAGCCGGCAGTTAGGGTCCTCCCAGAGCTCCAGGTGCCCTCCACCTGCCACCCCTCCTCCCGAGGGGTTTGCTCTCCACCTCAAGGTCACCATCTCAGGACGGCGACTTCCGTCACCTACGGATTTCCTAGTAAACCCACGTGGCATTGCCGGGTACGTTTTCAACTTTTATAGAAAAGTCATCATTCTATACACTGAGCTGCGTTCTTCCTTTTTAACATTTATTTTTTAGTTGTAGATGGACACGAGATACACAATATTGCTTTATTGTATTTATTTACATGTGGTGCTGGGGATCGGACCCAGTGCCTCACACATGCTAGGCCAGTGCTCTTCCTCGGAGCCACAACCCCCTCCCTGAGCTGTGTTCTCTTTCCACTAACTTTATGTTTTTGCGATTTATCCATGTTGAAACGCGTAGCTCTTGTTTATTCATTTTACCTGGCTGCATAGTTCTCCGTGGTTTGACCACGGTAGGCATTATGCATCTATTCTGCCATGATGACATTCAGTTTCCAGTTGTTTTACTAATACAAAACAGAATGCGTTCGTGTGTGTGTGTGTGTGTGTGTGTCTATCCGAAGGAGACAGACAAAGGGAGGGGACTGAGGGACAATGATATGTACATCTATTTTACCAGACGTGGCCAAACTGCTCTCTAGGCTGAGCTACCGATTTGCATCCCACCAGTCGGTTACCAGGCTTCATCCTGAGGCAAAGGAGCTGATCCTCAATTCACTCCTAACCTGGACACCCTCTTGTTCCCTTGCTCAGGAACTGCGTCCTCTGACGGTGTCTTGCGTTCACAGGTAAGTGCTTTCCTGGGGATTCTTGCAACCCTGGGTAAAATGGTTCAGCCGGGGTGTTTCTGGAGGGGCCCCCTGTTTCTGTTGCAGGAGCCCAAGGGCCACACACTAGTCGGCAGAGGAGCCTGGCTGCCCATTGGGTGGCCCTGGCTTTGGAGAGTCTTCTCAGGACCTGGTGGGGTCCCCGCGGCTCCCTCCGATGTGTGTTCTGATCCCCTCCCCGTCCCCAGGAATGAGACCCTGCGGAGTCTCAGCCCTGCCTTCACTTTGACCGGCGGTTTTGGCCTCCAGCGGGTTCCAGGCAAGATCATTCCATCAATTCCCTGGCAGTCGGCTCAGCAGATTTATAGGCATCAAACCCCCCCCCCAAAAAAATTTGCTTAATAACATGCTTGCGGAGTGTTTTTGTGCCCGTGTGCTCCAACAATGCAAAGTGTTCCAGCAAAGAGGAGGCAAATTTCTTTGAAATTAGGCTATTCAAAGTGACTACTCGACTCAGGGCTTTTGATATTGCTTTAAGGAATCTGTTTTGCCCATAAAATCATGTCTGTGCTGTGCTCGCCATTCAGCTGACATTTATTCCAATTTTCGAATAGCAACTTCTTCCACTTTACCTTCTGTAATTCAAAAGAGGAATCCTTAAGTCTTTGGAAAATTGTTTTTTGTAATATTCTAAAGTGAAAATACTTGCAAATGTGTACTTTTTAGAACAAGCGTAAATTTTAAAATCGGGACTAAAGTAACCTTTTATGTGCGAACTTGCCTGCGCTGTAAATCACGGACTGTTTTTTTCCTCTCTATTATTTTAGCAGGTCTCAAGGGCCCTGTGTTTGCATGAGATTGGAATCGCTGGTGGGGGGCTGAGAGGGGCTCAAATAAAAGCCGTTCCCTGTGCTGTGTGTCCTGTGAGCACTTGTCTCTGTGGCGGCTGCTGCCCCAGACCTTGCCAGTCTGTGGGAAAATAATCTGGTAATACCCGTGATGGTTCTTGTCCCCACTCCTATTTGGGGTCTCAGGTCCCTGCTACGTTCTCTCGATCCTTCCCCCCAGTGTCTCTCCTGGGCTCATGCCCAAGTGGCCTCCACCTGGCACCTCTGAGCACCCTGATCTCAGCACCTGCCTCGGCCGGATGTGGTGCTCTCTCCCCTGGGCCAGCCCCTGGCTTCAGCCTGAGTATTCCAGGTGACAGGCCACGACCTCGAGCCCTCCAAGGGCAGCTCTTCACGGTCTCCCGCGGGGCCCTCATCATCCTCTGGACCTCCAGCCAGCGGCCTCCTTACCGTTGCCAGAATCTCACCATCTCAACTCCAGTCACTGTGCTTGGAAGACAAAGTTTCCTTGCAGCCAGAGACGCGCAGCCCCTCATCCAGTGTCTCCCTGGGTGTGGGGCATCTTGAGCCCTTCCCTGGAGCATCCCCTGACGCTGCCTGCTGTGGGGTGCAGCTGAGCACAGGACGGGGGGGTGGGACCATCAGAGGTCAGGAGGGGTGAGAACTCTGTGTCTTCAGACTCCTACGGCCTTGGTTCTCCAACCGGGGAAGGAGTGGGTGTCACGAGTTGACCCAAGGCACACCTCCAGCTCTTTAAGGTATTAGAGATAGGATTAAACCTTGCTCATCATTTATCAGCATTTAAAAATTGGATGCACCTCTGAGGCACCGCTCTTTTTGGTGACCTCATTTGGAATTCTCATCCATTCTCAGCCCTTCTTCTTTGCTCATAGCAGCGTTTGTGGCTATGAATTTTCCTACAAGTGTTTCTTTGGCTGCATCCCACACATTTTGATAGGTAGTATTTCACCACTATTCAGTTCTATGTACTTTAAATTTTTTTATATATATTTGTTTTTAGTTGTTCATTTTATTTCTTGTAGGTGGTGAGAAGAATCGAATCCAGTGCCTCACACATGCTAGGCAAGTGCTCTACCACTGAGCCATAACTCCAGCCTCTGTATGTACTTTTAAAGTTTTCAGCTGATTCATGGATGATTTAGGTAATGCATTCAAAAAGTTTCAAACTCAAAAAGCATAAACTGTCTACAAGGAAAACTATTCCTTCTGCCTCTGCCTAGTAGCCAGCCTCCCACAGACAACTAATATCATTCATTATAGTTTTCATATATAGTTTATGTGTACATATATTGAGAGAGAGAGAGAGAGAGAGAGAGAGAGAGAGAGAGAGAGAGAGAATATCTTAAATGTCTCCAAAGACTTATGCGTTAAGGGCTTAATTCCCCCAGGTTGGCGTTATTGGGAGGTAATGAAAAACTCCTTCTTCTTCTTTTTTTTTTTTTTTAAAGAGAGAGCAGGAGAGATAGAGAGAGAGATAATTTTAATATTTTAGTTTTCTGTGGACACAACATCTTTGTTTGTATGTGGTACTGAGGATTGAACCCGGGCTGCATGCATGCCAGGAGAGTGCACTACTGCTTGAGCCACATCCCCAGCCCGGTAATGAAAAACTTTAAGAGGTGAGACTTAGTGAGAGTTCTTCTGGTCAGTGGGAAGATGCCTTTGGAGGGGCTGAGGGGCACCGGGTTCTCCTTTTCCTCTCTTTTTCACATCCCAGGCATGAGGAGAACAGTGTGCTCTGACTCATGCTCCCACCTCTGATGTACTGCCTGCCTTGCCACAGGCTCAAAGCCACAGAGTCAAGTGTTCATGGATTGAAGTCTCCAAATATGTGTGCCAATGTATAAACCTTTCCTTCTTATAAGTTGATTATCTTGGGTATTTTGTTATAGTAACAGACACCTAACTAACACAGGTGTATAAACATATTGTGTGTGTATGCAAAGTAGGCAGATGTACCCCTCCTCCTTCCTAGGAAAATCCTGTTCCTTTGGTTGTGAAATGTGTTTTAGTTTGTTCTCAGTAGAGATCCTTCCACACCATTACATAAAGAGCTTCCTCGTTTGTTTTAAAAGCGGCAGCCCAAGGCCTTCCCCTGGGGCTGTGCCAGCCGGAACCCCCAGCAGCATGTTGGGATGGCCCCCGTTCTGCACAAAGCGTGTCTTATCAAATTTTGGTTCTTTGTTGATCTAATAGTGAATAATGATCCATTTTAGTTTTCACTGATATTTATCTCATTGCGAGTGAAGTTCAACCTCTTTTCACGTTTTGAAGTAATTTTATACAGATGTGGCTTCTGATCGCTGTTCTCCAATAGCAGGAGGAATGACCGCTTCTGGGTTGGGGCTGGGGAGAATCTAAGATGAGCTCGGAACATCCTGTAGGGTCGGAGGTGAGGCATCGCTGAAACCAAGACAAAACCAACCCACAACGAGGTCACAGGCCACAGGTCATAGGTCACTGGTCGCAGGAGCCAACGCCAACGCTCCCGATGGCCTGACTGGAGCAGCCCGAGCAGGAAGACAGTCTAGGATGGCCTAAGCCCAATCCCGGAAATGGGCCCACGGAAGTCCCCGGGTCGCAGGTAAACAATTGCATAAATAAGCAAGAGGAGGAGCCGAGACAGAAGATCCCAAATACACATGGAGGTCCTTCCCTCCAGAGGGAGGCTCAGTGCCCCCAAGCTCGGCTGGACTTAGTGACCCCTAGACACAGGGTGGGAGGGAAACAGCGACTGACACTCCAAACCTGGAGACAGCGCCTGTCACGGGTGGGAAGGTTGACGTCCCCGATGACCTCACGGTCCCTGACATGAGGAGGGGCTGTCACGCCCCTGGTTTTTCCCCAATCTTGGTCTAATTGTGAAAAATAATTAAATAATCCCAAACTGAGGGCATTCTGTGAATATCCGACAACTACTCTTCAGAGACGTCCAGCTCCTGCTGGGCACAGAGGCACACGCCTGTAACCCCTGTGACTCGGGAGGCTGAGGCAGGAGGATCACAAATTCGAGGCCAGTGTGGGCAACTTAGAAAGACCCTCTCTCAAAATACGAAATAACAAAGGGCTGGGGTGCAGCTCAGTGGTAAAGCACCACAAAATAATAATGACGATGATGATGGTGAAGGAGAGCCATCAAGACTGATGGACAAGGAAAGGTGGAGAAACCACGGCAGGCCGGAGGAGACTGAAGAGACGTGGACACTGTGGCACCCTGGACTGCATCCCAGAACAGACAGAGACACCGTGAGGGAAACTGGAAAAATAGGAACAGAGGGTTCAGTTAATAGTAAGGTACTCGGAGATTCCACAGAAAACTTGGAATGGAACCACCATTTGACCCAGTTACCCCTCTCCTCAGCATATACCCCCGAAGGACTTAAAATCAGCGTTTTTTATAGTGATGTGGCCACATCAATGTGGATAGCAGCTCAATTCACAATAACTAAGCTATGGAACCAACCTGGGTGTCCTTCAAGCGATGAATAGATAAAGAACATGTGGTACATATACACAATGGAATATTACTCAGCCATAAAGAAGAATGAATTATGGCATTTGCTAGTAAATGGATGGACTAGAGACTATCATGCTAAGTGAATTAAGCAATCCTAAAAAACCAAAGGCCAAAGGTTCTCTGATATGTGGATGCTGACTCACAATGAGCAGGGGGAGGGAAGAATAGAAGTTCACCGTATTAGACAAAGGGGAATGAAGGCTGGGGAGGGGGGATGGAAACAGGAAAGACAGTAGAATGAACTGGACATCACTTTCCTATGTTCACATGTGAACACAGGACCAGCGTAACCCCACATCATGTACTACCACAAAAATGGGAAGTTATACTCCAGGTTTGTGTGAAATGTCAATCATGTGAAACTAAAGAGAACAAATAAAAAAATTAAAAATAGTAAAGTACTAATGTTAATGTCTTAGTTTTGACAAATCAACTATAGCTAAGATCTTAGCATTAGTCATAAGTGGGAGAAGGATATCCAAGAGCTCTCTGTACCATCATTTCAACTTTTCTATAAATCTAAAATTATTCTAAAACAAAATTTTATTTTTAAATAGTTATTTGTATTTCTTTCATTATAAAATATTTTAATCATTCCCTTTGTCCATGTTTTCTTTAAAAATTTTTTTTAGTTGTACATGGACTCAATACCCTTATTTATTTATTTTTATGTGGTGCTGTGGATTGAACCCAGTACCTCACCTGTGCTAGGCAAGTGCGCTACCACTGAGCCCCAGCCCCAGCCCCTGTCCATGTTTTCTTGTTGGTCTGTTTCTTATTTATTTATAGAATCTCTTTACATATTGGGCTTTGACTATAATATGAATTACATATATTTCCCCAATGTGACTTTGTTTTTCCTTAAAGTTATCTTTCCCACCTGAACATTTTAAATTTATATATCAAATTTATTCACTTTTTGTTTGACTTTATATTACAACTGGAAAGGTCTCTCTCCCCTTCAATCTTATAAAATAATTCACTCATGGTTTACTCAGATACTCTTAAGTACTTTCTTTTCCTACATAGTCTATATGCTACAAATTATAAATTATAAATTCTTAGAAATTTATTAATTTATAAAGCTGAATCAGTTAAAGTACAATCAAGAAACAGAAGTCACCCAAGTTGTTTGAACTGACTTTAATATCAATAATGAGGGTCTGAGAGAGTAGCTCAGTGGGATAGCACTTGCCTAGCATGTGTGAGGCCCTGGGTTCAATCCCCATTACCACAATCTATCAATCAATATATGTGTAGACAGTTGTTAACTAGGTAACTCTAATTGCAAAATGAAAAATTTATGATATTAGAGGATCAGCAGCTGTGACCCTCAGGGTTGAGGGAACAAAGGGAAGAGGTAGAAATTACTAAATTTTAGTAACTTAGAGGAAGAGTTGCCTGGCCTTAGGACTTGAGAAGGGAATACATTCTGCAATTAATCTTCTGTCACAGCAGCTCGGCCTTTAATAATACGGTGTCAGTCTTCCATTTCACCAATTCTCTTCTCGACTCTGTCTAGTATGTTCATCGAACCTTTAACTTTAATAATATGTAACACTTTCATTTCTGGGAATTCTATCCGATTTTAAAAACTGCCTTCTTATCTTTGAAGTCTCATCTCTTGCTCACATTTTCAATTCCCTCTTTTAGTTCAGACATGTATTTAAGGTGTAGATGGAACAATACCTTTATTCTATTCTTATGTGGTTCTGAGGCTCGAACCCAGTCCACACATGTGCTAAGGGAGCACTCTATCCCTGAGCTACACCCCGCCCCTCTTGTGGTTCTATAAGCAGTGTAAATACGGTCGGTTTAAAGTGCTGTATTCATCAATTCCAGCAGCTGAAGTCGTTGGGTTTTGTTTTGGATCAGTGTGTCCTAGAAGCTGACCCCAGTGCAAGTTCGTTGGTGAGGGCTGATCATCTGGATCGTTTCTGGAAGCAATACCAGGGGAATGGAGAAGTTGAGACAGGACAGAAGAGGAACAGTCCGTGGTTGCATCCTGAGCAGCGGAACCCGTGATCTAAGGCTGCTCCCGTCCAGGGTAAGGAAGCGGGAGGCATCTTCTGGCCGACTCCCTTTCTCATTGGCTGGACCATGTTCCCGGGGTGTTCATGTCCAGCCCTTCCAGCCCCCTCCCTGTGAGCAGAGGCCACCAGCAGGCCCAGGGAGGGCCAGGTCAAGGAGGCCCTGGGGGCAGTGAGTTCAGGCACCACCCAGGCCCACTTCGGCCCAACCCTCCTGCTTCAAGGCAGTGGCCTGTCACAAGTCCTAAAAAATAACCTGCAACATGGTGAGGGGGACAAGCGCACTCTCTGCTGCCTTGGAGAGCCCCAGGGCCATAGCTGACACCCACCTCTCTGTCGTCTACCGGCCCTTCTAGATCCCCCTCACCTTGGCCAGCATTTCTGCTGAGGGTGGTGACCTTCCTGGTGGACCGACAGGCTGTCCATCCTGAGGCTCTGAGCCCTCGTGAGCCCATGGTTGATGCAAATGCCCGTTCAGCCATTCCCACACCCAGCGCCTATGGGCGCCACCCGAGTCCTTTGGTTTCCAAGTTCCTCTCTGCCCCTGCTATACCGCGGTGACCCTCCTCAGGGTGATCCGGGTCCATTGTCCCTGTTAGTACAGAGACTTCCTTATTTGCTTCTTCCAGCATAAGAACCCCAGAAAACCAGTGGAGCTGTTCACTGGATGCTCAGCGGTGCCCCAGGGGACTCCCCTTCCCCAACAGGAAGCGAGGCCTCTAATCCAAGAAGACTGTAAAGTTGGTTAGAAGCACAGGTTGATGAGTCGCTGGGAATTATTATAACAGGGTCCACCCCGGCCTTCATCTTTGGTTCCTGGAACACCACACCTATCCTGGCCTTTGGTCCAAAGCATAGACCATCTCTTGAAACTCTGAGTCCCAATACCTCGGGGCGTCTTCCCCAAAGTGGCACCTCAGGTGTCACTTTAAGAGTTCATCCCAACATTCCGCTGTATGTGGAGTTGATGGCGGGCCCTCTGGCCCTGTCCACTGTCCCACCTCAGGCCGCGGTGCTAGCTGAGGCGCATGTCAAGAGAAGCACACTAGTTGCTGCTCTATTAGTTCATTTTCTGTTGCTATAACAAACTATCAGAGACTGAGTACTTTATAAAGGAGAGAGGTTGGTTAGCTCACGGTTTGGGAGGCTGAAAATGCGTGACTGGACTGTCCCACCGGCTCGGGCTCTGGTGAGGGCGCCTTGGCTGGGTCACAGCGTGGTGGAGGAGCGGAAAGATGTGTGAATGGCCAAGTGCAAGGGGTGGTCTGCTTTGTAACCACCTGCTCTCATGAGTGCTAACCCACTCTGCAGGAGCAGCATTAATCCCGCCAAAAAGCCGCTCCCCTCAGCACCCACCCTCCTCCCTCGGGGCCCTGCCTCCCAAGGGTTCCACCCCCTCCACACGGAGGTCCCAGCTCCCCACACTCGAGTCTGAGGGACACTCACACCTTGTCCAAGTCGCCTCCTCCCTTCTCATGCTCCCCCATACGTCACCCCCCGACTTTTCCAGGCCACTTTTCTGCTCCTGCTTCTTTCCGGGTCCCTCACCATCCAGCCTGACCATCTACCCCTGCCAGGGTCTGTGCATGTCCCCCCTGAGCGGATGGCCAGCTTCGAGGCTGGAGCTGGCTGACTGGACCCAGGCCTCAGTGCTGTCCAGCGGCTGGAGGGCGGCAGCTGCCCCTTTTTATTTGCCCCGACTCATCCAGCCAACCCTGCCTGAGTGGCGCCCGGGGTTCCCCACCTGCTGTTGTCTGGCTGACAGTGGCTGAGGGGTGGCCGCGAGCCAGAGAGCTGTGGGGTCTGGGTCACCTGTCAGGCACGTTCCATTCTCATCAGTGGGAGGTTCCTGTGATGCCAAACCTCCCCCGTCGCATGGCCTCCTGTCCACCCCAAGGTCACGCTCAGCCTGTCTCAGCGCCCAGTGGCTCTCCATGAGCCGCTTTTCAAATGGCTGATGACTCTCTGCTGCAGGTGGGAGCCCGGCTGCGGAGCCCACGCTGTCCATCTCCTGCCCGGGATTTCCAAAGACTCCCCACGGTGGCCTTCTGTACCATGGTGGACCCACATCACTGGATGCAGATGGCACAGCCCAGGGGCAGAGTTACTGGGTCTGGCACCTGAACCCCCTGGAGAGGAGTCCTCACCGAGGCCCAACAGAAGTGGCACTGTCCCAGTATCCTGACAAACGGTTTGGAGCAGTGCTTCCTGGTGTCCTTCATGGGTCATCTCCAAAGTCCAAAGAGGCAGATCAAGCACTGTGCCTTTTCCTGGTGGCCGAAGACGCCGGATAAAGTGACTCATCTGTCTCGGAAGGACCCGCCCCTTTGAGGCTCCAAGAACCTCACTGAGGCGTCAGATGTCAGCCTTCGAAGGGCTCGTCTGCCACCCTCTGTACCGCAGGGAGGTCTTACAAGGGACCCGGGAGACGTCCCACTTCCTGCTCATCAGGTGTGATGAGCACAAAATCTTCAATGTCCTGTGTCAGTCTGCTGCTCTACGGAGTGTCCGTGATGAAGGTCCCTGCAAATGCAAACTGCTGTCTTATCTTAGGTAGCTGCAGATCACTTCTGATACGTCTTCCTCACGGGGCCTGCAAAGGGCATGCTCACCCAGTCTACAGCTTCATTCCAAATCCCAGAGGCTGTGTTGATCTGCTCCACTGCAGAGAGAATGCATGTCACGACGGCAGCTTGGGGCTACCATTGGGTCATGTTCACCGTGATCCATCCCCATCGGCTATGATTCGGGTGGTTTTGTGAGGGCCCCAGCGGTGCATCACACAGGGCTACGGGGGACCACCTTCCCTGCCTTCTGTAAGTGATCAAAGGGGACACTAGCTCTGACTGACAGCCCCTGTGCTGTTGCTCCTGGTTTTCCATCTCGTAAGTGTGTCCACCCTCAGTACTCACTCAAGGACAGAAGAAATGTCCCCAGGACGGTTCTCCAGGCTCACTGACTTCCTGTGGATGGATTTGGGCTGGACTTCACTTCTCTCTTGGATTCTGTGAACCCCCTTCTGACAGGGAGAGTCAGGAATTTGGGGTCTCCTGGTATGGGTGTCAGCTCTGACCCTGTTCCCAGCAGTCCTGAGAGTCCTGGCTATTCCCCTTCCTCTGCATCAGAGCTGTCTGATAAATGACCGTAAGGAAGGATCAAGACAATCCTGGACCAAAGGATCACGACTTTCAAGGTCCTTCAAATAAACCAAATAAACCTAATAAATGAGCCAAATAAACCTCTTTTCTTTATAAAGCTATCCAGTCTCAAGTATTGTGTTATAGTAACGGAAAGCTGACTAGTACATCTGGCACCACTCCCTCATTTGCTGTAGGCCATTGGCGCAGCCCTCAAGATGGTGGCCCAGCCATGTGTTAGGGACAGCTCAAGGTGCCCCTACCCTGGTGAGAAACCCTGGAGGGTGCTCCAGATCAGTTAACTCTCCCCCATCCAGCCAGTATTGTACTCTTCAACCTACCGTGGGGTGCAGTGCCGAGTGGTCTCGGTGCCGACTCCCCACTTTCCTGTGGGCTCCGGGCCTGGCTCCCCCTTCCCATCGCAGCTCTTGAAACCAAAGGGCATGGTTTCCACCTCTCTTCATGTCTGCTCAGATCCTTCCTCTTTCTGTTCCCTGAAATACTTTCACTTCCTTATAAGCCCAGCCGGACATTCAGAAGAAAGTTTCTGGATTCTATCTGCGTTTTGATTTATGTGTTTGCTTATTGGTTTTATTTTGCCACGCTGGGAGGGGACCCAGGGCCTCAGGACGCTGGGCAAACCCTCAGCGCCGCGCTCGCCCGGCCGCTGCGCCCCGTGGCTGTGCCCCGTGGCTTCTGTTGTAGCCGTGGTTGATTCCAGCCTTGATGCTGCACAGGGCAGAACTCCTCGGGGTTTTCTTTGTTTCTATCATAAAAAATAATTTGCAGTTGCAGAGCAAATAAAACGGTGGTTTATTCTAGCACATTTCAAACAAGTAAATGGCTTCTCTCCTCTCCCCACCCCTAGAGCCTTAGAGGGTTATTTTGTGACTTTGGAGTCGTATGTAAATACCTGTAGGGGTCATTGTTATGTGGGGTGAAAATCCACTGTGACTTGGGGGATCTACTGCGTCCTCCCACCAACACAGTCTGCTTTCCATTTGTGCCTTATCTTGATCTGTTGCTTCTGTGTATGGGTATTTTTGTGTTTTCCCCTTAGACTTTCTATGGTTCAATATTCGTGCACTCTATTGTGGGGCATGGTGTGAGGTAGGGATCTATCTTTCCTCTCCCACATGGCTAGTGAATAGTCCTGGTGCTGTTTTTAAAGACACATCTGCTCTTGTTCACTGAATGTGATGCACCCATTAGTTCTGGGTAGGTGGTTCCATTCCATTAATCTATGCATGGAATCAGTGAGAGTGTGTTTGGCTGCAAGTAACAGGAAAACAAAAAACCAAAAAAACCGAAAACCTTGCTTTAGACAGATGGGGGCTCCTTTTTCATGTGTAACTATTAATCCAAAAATGGATGTTTCTGGGGTTGGCTCAGTTACCTAACTGGGCCACCAGGGACCAGAATCTTCTCTGTTTCCATTTATCCTCTTAACCATGTCTGTCACTCCTGGGCACTAGACGGCCAACACAGCACAAGGCTTCATCTCTGCTCTCAGAACAAAAAAAGAATGAAGGGCCCTTGGTGGCCACCAGCACCTCTTCTTCAGGAAGCACGAGGTTTCTCAAAACTCCAAGACTCTTGCTTCCGCCTTGTTGGGCAGCCCTGAGTCATGTTCTGCTGCTTTCCGTTGCAAGAGAAGCTGGGAAAGGGAGTAAGTAGATTGTCCTATGTGACTTAGAACAACCCCGATTGCTTTGGGCTGGGTATAAAAGTGGGGGCTCCAGTTGCCCTGGTAGACCACTGTCAGGGGTTGGCTACTGTGGCACAGTGGCCTCCTGAGAATATTGCCAGGGACACTCATGCAGGGAAAATTTAAAAAAATACAATAGCCAGAGCTCCTGGGGGTGGCCAAGTGTTCCAGCTCAGGCCGTGGGAGGTGTGATACACTCAACCTTCCCAGCAGGACTGGCTGATTCATTTAAGCCACATCCCACACCTGACCCCACAGAAAGAACCCAGCCGGTGGGCGGGGTGTGAGGGGTTGGGGTACGATTCTCACCGATGGGTGGCAACCAGCTGCTTCTGTCCCTCTGGTGTATTTATTTCCTTCTCTGCTTGTAACAAATTACCACAAACAAAAACAGTGGCTTACATGCAACACAGATTTATCTTACAGTTCTGGAGGTCAGAGGTCAAGCGTGGATCTCACGGGGTTACAGTCAGGGTGCCACCAGGCTGGTTCTTTGTGGAGGCACCTGGTCGATTGTCCAGGTCTTCCAGTCTCCAGAGGCTGCCCCTCCAGCTCCGAAGCCAGCCTGTCGCATCTCCCCACCTCCCTCTGCCTCTGCTGCGTTATCACCCGGGACACGCCATGACACCAGCCCCCCTCCATCACCCAGACTCACCTCCCATCTCAAAATCCTCCTTTTTGAGGGTTCCTGGGCATGAGGACCAAGCGTTTCTCCTTATCACCAATGACGGGCTGGTTCTCCAGGAAGGAGAACGGGCTCTGGTGCAGGGCAGAGCTGGGAACCTTGCAGAAGATCCTGGGGCCCAGGGTTCAGGTGTCACTTCAGCTGTGCTGTGAACTGGGTCTGCAGGGCCCAGAGATGCGTCCCACCGGCCCTGGTCTGGAAGTCCTCGCCAAGCAGACCCGGGGGCTCTCCCTTTCTCTCCACTCCCTGCACAGACATGGTGGGTGGGAGGACCAGCCCGAGGACCCAGCCCACGGGTTCCCTGCACTTGAAGCAGGAAACCAGGCCGACTGCCTGGGGGGGCGGGGGCTCAGAGTGCGCTGCAGCAAAGGGCAGGGGTGCCTGGGGGGAGCAGCACAGACCCCAGGGGCCCCTCTGGGTCTGGGGTACGAGGTGGGTGAAACCTGCACTTTGAGCCCTTCGTGATGTGAGTTACATTCAACAAAGAAAGAAGTGGGGGAGTGAGGCCACACTGTCCTTTGGAGAGCGTCCCTCACGGCAAGGCAAGGTTTCGACGTTTTCAGTGATTTTCCTCACTCTTCCTGCCCCTTCCCTTCCCGTCCCTACCCCTGACCTTTGGGCAGAAGCTGCATTTGTTTTAGAGGGATAAGGGGCCACAGACTGGGGGGTCTCCATCTGGATGGGTGGAAGGACAGCCTAAGAGAGGCGAGAGGAACCCCCTCCTAGTGTTGTGGGGACAGAGAGGCAAGGCACGGGAGACAGCAGGAAACAGTTTTATTTGGCTGCAGCCAGGTTCAGGGGGGCAGAGCTTTTGTTGTTATGAATCAATCCCCTGAACCCCGAGTTCAGGGAGTTTCAGAGTTTTATACCCAGCAGGTAAGGGGCGGGGCTCAGAAGTTCACTGTCTGCGGAAATTCACATAGAAGCAGCTTTTTCTTTCACTGTTCTGGGCAAGTTAACCCTTCAAGGACAACACCTGAGAAGGGGGGAGCTTCTTCTCCCCTCTCTTTCCTCCCCCTGCCAGCTGTTACCAAGGAGCCCAACTGTAACTTATCTTAAGAATGTAGACATCTCTGTGAAGCCCAGCTCAAGGCCAGAGGCCTTGTTTGCACATTTCTACAAAGTACTATACTGGATACGTTTGTGAAAAACTAGTAAGGGGGAGTCCAGGCCTGGGTGGCAGCCCGGCCCCGTCTGTCCTGGCCAGCCTCCTCCCTCCAGATATTCCATATGGCATAATAAAGAACTCAACCAGCCTTGGTCCCTGGCTCCTGGGAGGGTCAGGCTGAATCTTTGTAACTCCCAGTAATGAGGGTCTTCGTTGTACAGGAGTCCCCTACACCCCCACAACACCTGAGCTCCTGGTAATGAGGTGACTCGAGGTGGAATCCTAGAGGCTTCCAATGGGGCTGGCCAGGCCACTGAAGTCAACCCTGGGAGGAGAGCTTGGGCCTTTGAGACCTACTGAGAGGGGGCCGGCTGGAGGTGGAGTTCCAGTTCCGTCCATCAAGCCCGCGGAATGAAGTCCCGGGGAGAACAAGGGCGTGCAGGAAGGTGGGGTGCCCTGACTCCGGGGGAGCCGGCCTGGACACTCTGTTCTGGACCCCCCAGACCTCGCCCTGCGTGTCTCCTCATTGCCTTTGTGTCCTTTATAGTAAGACTGGAATCCTAAACAGAGCCCCGCCCAAGTGGTCAGAATCCAAATGGAATCACTTATGTCTCATCGTGACAAAATGGAATCAGGAGGCCCTGAAGGGGGAGCCGCTGAGCATCTGCCTGATAACAGGAACGCAAGAGGCTGTCTACCCACAACCTTGCAGAAAGACCACGACAGCCTTGCACAAAAGCATATTTCCACGAGGACAATTGCTCAGCAATTGCCCGTGTGACCTTGGGTTGGCACAAACCCTTCCTATTGATCCTTGCAGCCAAGGATAATGGTTTCAAAACAACTTCTGCAACCTTCCTCGTTTTATCTGTAAAAGCCCTTGACTTCTTTTGTCTCTGTGACATGCGTATTTCAAATTGCAGCCCTTGTCACTCCACCTAAAATCATTTTGGAAGAGCCTCTCTATGTCATTAATTTAGGTTGATAACACTTTCCTGGGTTCTGTGAGTTGTTTTAGCAAATTACCAAACCTGAGGGGGGATCATAGGAACCCCCAAACTCGTAGCCAGTCATTTGGAAGTGCAGATGGCCCGAGGACCCTCTGAGTTGGCAGCCGGTGTGTGTAGTGGGGGTGATAATGTCTAGAAGCACGAGACCTGTGGAGCCTGGCAGTAACGCCGGGTGGCCGTGTTAGAGACGATTTGCCATCTTCCAGTTGGGTTTGAAACAGAATATTAAGAAACCTCATCCCGCTGAGCAGAGATGTGGTCGAGAAGGGAATCCCAGATCTGTTTGAGAAACCATTTGAAACCCAGAGAAATTTAGACTTGAGTATAGCAATGATGAAGTAGATCAAAATCATAGCATGTTAACTTTTGCACTAAGTTCAGAAATATACATCTCGGGCATTTTAGGAACGTTCAGAGTTTAAGAGAGTTCGGCATATTTGAGTGTTCCCGGTGCTTGTGATTCTGATTTTAAATAGGCTCTTGAGTCACTGATTTCAACCTGTGATTGCGAGTCGAAACCTTACTCAGTTGGTAAACTGTTTTTGAATATTTAAATATCACCATAATTGTACGTTTAATGTATCTGATTTATAAGAATCAGGTAAGGACTTGGGAATTTGTTAGTCAGATAATTGAAAAACTTAGAAAACTGAATATAATAAATTTTGATTGCCGCTTAAAATGTTTAAAGGAGTTTAATTAACTAAGTAGGTAAATGGTACAAACATTAATCAAAGTTCTCCTTATACATGATTGTTAAAATTTGCTGGATCTATTCATAGAATATGTTGCATTTGATCACTCCAGAAATGGGAGAGGGGAAAACGAAGAGCTTCAGCACGGTGGGTGCAAAGTCTCAGTTCCACGAGACAAATAAGTTCTAGAGATCTGCAGTTCACCGCTGCGCCCACAGCTAAGAACATCATAC